GTCTGTCTGTGTCTGTCTGTCTGCGTCTGTCCGTGTCTGTCTGTCTGCGTCTGTCTGTGTCTGTCTGTCTGCGTCTGTCTGTGTCTGTCTGTCTGCGTCTGTCTGTGTCTGTCTGTCTGCGTCTGTCTGTGTCTGTCTGTCTGCATCTGTCTGTGTCTGTCTGTCTGCGTCTGTCTGTGTCTGTCTGTCTGCGTCTGTCTGTGTCTGTCTGTCTGCGTCTGTCTGTGTCTGTCTGTCTGCGTCTGTCTGTGTCTGTCTGTCTGCGTCTGTCTGTGTCTGTCTGTCTGCGTCTGTCTGTGTCTGTCTGTCTGCGTCTGTCTGTGTCTGTCTGTCTGCGTCTGTCTGTGTCTGTCTGTCTGCGTCTGTCTGTGTCTGTCTGTCTGCGTCTGTCTGTGTCTGTCTGTCTGCGTCTGTCTGTGTCTGTCTGTCTGCGTCTGTCTGTGTCTGTCTGTCTGCGTCTGTCTGTGTCTGTCTGTCTGCGTCTGTCTGTGTCTGTCTGTCTGCGTCTGTCTGTGTCTGTCTGTCTGCGTCTGTCTGTGTCTGTCTGTCTGCGTCTGTCTGTGTCTGTCTGTCTGCGTCTGTCTGTGTCTGTCTGTCTGCGTCTGTTTGTGTCTGTCTGTCTGCGTCTGTCTGTGTCTGTCTGTCTGCGTCTGTCTGTGTCTGTCTGTCTGCGTCTGTCTGTGTCTGTCTGTCTGCGTCTGTCTGTGTCTGTCTGTCTGCGTCTGTCTGTGTCTGTCTGTCTGCGTCTGTCTGTGTCTGTCTGTCTGCGTCTGTCTGTGTCTGTCTGTCTGCGTCTGTCTGTCTGCGTCTGTCTGCGTCTGTCTGTCTGCGTCTGTCTGCGTCTGTCTGTCTGCGTCTGTCTGCGTCTGTCTGCGTCTGTCTGTCTGCGTCTGTCTGCGTCTGTCTGTCTGCGTCTGTCTGCGTCTGTCTGTCTGCGTCTGTCTGCGTCTGTCTGTCTGCGTCTGTCTGCGTCTGTCTGTCTGCGTCTGTCTGCGTCTGTCTGTCTGCGTCTGTCTGCGTCTGTCTGTCTGCGTCTGTCTGCGTCTGTCTGTCTGCGTCTGTCTGCGTCTGTCTGTCTGCGTCTGTCTGCGTCTGTCTGTCTGCGTCTGTCTGCGTCTGTCTGTCTGCGTCTGTCTGCGTCTGTCTGCGTCTGTCTGCGTCTGTCTGCGTCTGTCTGCGTCTGTCTGCGTCTGTCTGCGTCTGTCTGCGTCTGATCTGGTCTGATCTGGTCTGATCTGGTCTGATCTGGTCTGATCTGGTCTGATCTGGTCTGATCTGGTCTGATCTGGTCTGATCTGGTCTGATCTGGTCTGATCTGGTCTGATCTGGTCTGATCTGGTCTGATCTGGTCTGATTTGGTCTGATCTGGTCTGATCTGGTCTGGTCTGGTCTGGTCTGGTCTGGTCTGTCTGTCTGTCTGTCTGTCTGTCTGTCTGTCTGTCTGTCTGTCTGTCTGTCTGTCTGTCTGTCTGAACGTATGCTCCGAATAGAAAATTCCATTTCTGAACCGATCTGGACCAAACTTTGTACACAACACTTCGGGGCCGGGCGGATGTCATAGACCACTTTTCGTCATCGTTCGACATCGATTTTATCGATTTTTCCGCAAAGTTTGAGCTTCGGGGCTCGGATTTGGCACAGGGGATGATCGAGCAAGCTGATTACTAAAACAGCGGGAATAGTGAATTGGCATGTAGGCGTGGGCACAGGGAAAGTTGTACTGCATAGGGATGAGAGCTCTATCACAGTGCTTTGACAGGGCCGGGCGGAGCCGGATAAGCCAGCCAGTAGTTTACAGAGCTCAATTCAAACCGTGAACGATGTTATTAGGTTGTCAAGAAAATAATGTCCGTTTTTATCTGCTTGCTTTAACAAAGCAACCAGACTCAACCCAACAAAGAGTAAGGGGTACTGTTCGATAGAGCAAAGCAAGCTCTACAAGATGGCACTCATGCCTTTGCGCCATGCTCGATCCACGGAGAGTTCGAACTCAAAATCTAAAGATTTCCAAATGCCCAAAAAATCGAAAAAAATCAGATCTTCGTCCAAATAATTTCTACGGACCTCCCACTCGCTCACATCAATACTATCGATATCTGATATCCATATGTGCGATTGCCGTATTTTTTCCTTGACTAGGAACTGAGAAAACGAAAATTTCCCTGATTTTCTCAAAGCAATGCTGGGCCGTTTTTGCATATGTAGTTCTACACTACAAGCCTAGGTGAATATAACTGTAGATTTTCAGCCCATTCCAAGCGGTACTTTTCGAATAATAACGAATTCAGATTTTTTCGTTTTAGTTTCAGTGCTAAAATCGACATTTCTCGAAAACTACCGCTCGAAATAGGCTGAAAATCTACAGTTATACTTACCTAGGCTTGTAGTGTAGAACTACATATGCAAAAACGGCTCAGCATTGCTTTGAGAAAATCAGGGAAATTTTCGTTTTCTCAGTTCCTAGTCAAGGAAAAAATACGGCAATCGCACATATGGATATCAGATATCGATAGTATTGATGTGAGCGAGTGGGAGGTCCGTAGAAATTATTTGGACGAAGATCTGATTTTTTTTCGATTTTTTGGGCATTTGGAAATCTTTAGATTTTGAGTTCGAACTCTCCGTGGATCGAGCATGGCGCAAAGGCATGAGTGCCATCTTGTAGAGCTTGCTTTGCTCTATCGAACAGTACCCCTTACCCTTTGTTGGGTTGAGTCTGCTTGCTTTGTTAAAGCAAGCAAATAAAAACGGACATTATTTTCTTGACAACCTAATAAATAGAAAAGAATGTATTGCTTCGCTTAAAGGCAGCATTCCGGCAAAAAGATGGGTGTCGGGTTTTTGTGGCGATGTTAAAGGCAGCGTCCGGGGTCCTGGTAAGGCTCTTGCCCAACTGGCAATACACCAATTTGCTTCTGAAGCAAGAAATCCGCTTCAGAAGTGGCGACCGGAACGCCCAGCGACCGGGACGAGTTAGTTCGATAAGCCAGAGTGCGCATACCGCACACAGCCAAGACGTAGACGGTCCCACAAAAACTCTGCGTCTTAATCTTGGCGGCAGGCGACGAATTCAACATAAGAGTTCCTGGAAAAGCCCGTTTTCGGCGTTTTCGTGCCCTCCAAGCTGCATTTTCAGGATCAGCGGGAGGAATAAGCCCAGGTAAGCGAAAAAATTCCATTCGAAATTTTGCCCGAACGCTGCCTCTAAGTAGACCCTCTACCTAAGCGATGACCAGGGTCAAGCAAGGGGTGTGGCACACGATCGCTGGTTACGACCCCCCCCCCCCCTGACTGCTGTCTTAATTACACCCCCCCCCTGAATTATAATATATACCTAAGATAGCATTACCTGAAGGCCCTGCCAAACATAATGGGCAATATATCCATAATGAGCATGTCAATTAACCCTTGTAGACGAAGTTTGAGCGAATTCTGAAGATTCAAGATACTAGGCTACCTAAGTGAAATGGTCATTTTCCAACATGATTAACTTTGTTTCAAAGATGAAGTAGCTAGCTATTTAGAAATCCCGCTTCATAAGACCTTCAAACTGTAGAATTAGAAGCCAACCAAAATCTCTTTTTTCCCATTTTTCGCTTTTAATGGTCGTGCTTTCACCAAATATAACTCAGAGCAAAGAAAACGAATCAGGCTCAAATCACTCTTGTGAAAACCAGGAGGTCTAGGCTATAGATCCAAATAAATACCGTTTGCTAAAAATGTTTTTATGACTTAATGGGGTGTGGCACACCCCCTTAAAAGCTGTGGCTGCCACATTAACTATATCAAAAAAAACATTTTTAGCGAACAGTATTTATATGAATCTATAGCCTAAACCTCGTAGATTCCATTGGATTGTTTTGAGCCTTCTTCGTCTGCAAATTATGGATATGATACGAATATCATGTTATCACTATTATCAGGTTACCCAACTACGACCCCCTCCCCTTTTGACTCCTCAATACGACCCCCCCCCCCCCCAGGTGTGGCGTGCCACATCTCACGCTTGACCCTGGCGATGACTGAAGTTCGGAGCGAAAGAAGGGGTCTACCAAGCCTCAAATTTGCTCCGAAAGTGGCCCGAATCTTACGGTAGGCCCGGGCGCGCCCACACAGCAATATCGATTTGCAAGGCCAGAGTGCGTATAGCGGACCAGTCTTGAGCGCAGGGTCCCGCAACGACTCTGCGTCTCTACCTTGCATGCATCTCGCACTCGCCCGAGCCTACCGTAAGATTCGGACCACTTGAGGGGCGATTTGTAGACTTCGCAGACTTCCTTTCGCGCTGCAAACTTCTGTCCTCGCTTAGTTAGGTGGTCTACTATTACATTACTACCAGAGCCAGGTACCTCCAGTCTGGTGGACGCTGCCTTTAACGCAATGCAGATGTTAGTAAGTGCAACGGGTAATGTTCATAGGGACTCCCCCATATGACGACAGCCAGGGAGATTCAGTAGCTTTCTTTGCCAGACAGGTTTGAATAAAATTTGAATGAAACATTTATATCAAACCGAAACGTTAGGCCGAATAAAACATTTATATCAAACCGAAACGTTAGGCCGAATAAAACAATTATATCAAAAGAAAGCTACTGAATTTATGACATAATGTCCAGGTTTTACAAACAGAGAACGAACGAGATATTACGTGAAGTACAGCCAGGGAGATTGCCAAAAGGCTGGAAAGCCAGAAAATTTTTGGAAAGGAGAAGCAGTGTATATTGTAGCGCATACTCCCGTTCTCACTTCCCCTTTCATGAGGCGCATCTGATACTTCAGTGTCAAGCAATACTCATCCTTCAGTGTCCCATCTCGCGACTTCGAAAATTTCGGAATCGAACATTTCTCCGATTGTGCCGAGCAAAATGTGCAACTAGGTATGTCAAAAGCCCTTAGAAAAGAAACGCTACGATATAAAACTATGGAAAATTTTCTATTCAAACGCATGCATTTTTGCGTAGGCATGAAAGCTTAGCACACAAAAAGTCGACTATTTCTTACATGGCGAGAACCCTTCGAGTACGATTCGATAGCGCTTTCCTTCCATTTTACTTTAACACCAGTACGAAATTCTTCGGGCAAGCACTTGTTGACGAGCTCGGGCAGATTATAGAACTAAATGACATCTTAGGAATTGCTCCTTCTTTATCAAAGGCAGACCTCAGCTTCTCTCCGAAGTGCTTCTTTGGCATCATCGTCAGATGGAGGAACAAAACGCTCGTCATCTCGTAGATAATCCAGTACCTGAACTGAGAAACTTCGCACTAAGACTGCGAATCAGTTTTCTAACTTTGGCAAAAAGCAGGGGATTTCTGTCTATGAACAGTTCGTCTCCATTTTGCATTTCCTCGGCCACCATAGCGGAGAGCACCTTTTCAAATATTGAAATGTCTTCGATGAACATGAAAACGCGCTCCAACTTACACTTTCATTCACTTTTGTGAGAGTGGAAAGGTAGGTCTCAAAAACTGTACCGCCAACGTTGATTTTCACGCGCGTGTATTTGGGAGATAGGATTTTGTCTCCCTGAAGATTTTTTCATTGTCAAAATTCAGTAAACATGATAAAAATAGTCATGGCAGGAAAGAAAATGAACAATACTGCTTTTCATCCAATTTCGTTTCACAATCATCAAACCCACCATGTTGACGGCCGCCTGGAGCTGATGGTAATCGACGAATGAGTCATGGAAACGGCGCAGATGTTGTGCTTGAGCAAATGACACTGAAATTCCAGAAAGAAGCGAAAAGGTCTTTATATTAGAAGACTCCGAAAACTTACACAATCTTTACCGCATATGTTACACTTGAGTCTGAAAAGAGAAGCACCATCTTATGACAAGGGTGCGTTGGTATATTCATTCCCACCTCCCCCGCCCCCCCTTGCAGCTCTTCCTACATTTTTCTCATCATTTTCTAGAATTCCGATAGAATTCTCTGGCGTTTCCATCTGCACTGCTTGTGCTCAGCCTCTAATTTTTGAAACAGAAACTGACAGTGTCTCTTGATACTAGGAAATCGTGATAATTAGGCAATTTTCCATATTCACAAAACAAGCAAACATGTTTTTCTAAAATGAATTGTTCTTGCTGTGGCGAAACACTTTGAGGTACTAAACACCAATAAAAAACGGGCTGCCTGTTAAAGGGCAAGTTGGGCGAAAACTCGATCATGCCTGACCATTTTTCAACATGTCTCAGATAGCACCTCCATTCGTAGTTACCGAGGATTCCAAAATTTTTCTTCATTACTGTAAACCGTACATGCAATCTCATGTGGAATTAGTATACTTTCGTCTTCGAAGTAATCGCCGGGCAACTCTGTTCCGCAATCTTCAGCGAAATGTAGATCGAGTTTTGTTATACCGTATCAGTGGAGACATGTAGTTTACGAATATAAAAACTAAAATGAGGCGGTTTACAGTCATGAAGTTTATCTAATGAGAGGAAAGTAAAATCGCTAATATAAAGAAAGCAACAAATATATCTTACCGAAAGGTTCGATTTTACGTCATATGGTTCGATGGTTAATCCGCTTCCAGCTACCGTATGTGGAACTACCGTATACGTTGTTGAAATCAATATGTATTGACTCTCGGCGCGCCCAAAACCTCTACCAAAATTAACAGTCAAATAATAATTCTGGATTCATATAAATACTCTGCGTTGAGTAAACCTAGCCAGTGAAACAAGATTTCAACGAGATCTAAAATCTGAATCTCACAGAATAACAACTGCAACTATCTGTGGATCGCCAATTTATCCAAAGCTTATAAAGACCACTAATCCAGAATTCTAGAAAATTGTTCTCCACTTCTTGCAACGTTCGTTTGCTTATTGGAAGACTGCAGAGGAAAGCTCAATGAGGTTTACAACTTTATTAGATACTAAAACGGCAGTACATCAAACACATCAAGTGTTGGACATGACAAGTTTAGGACTTTTCATAAAAATATTTTGTATCTATATCTCACTTATATGAGAAACTCGCACTTAATGGGGAACTTCTTAAGCAGCATCAGCACATGCGATTAAGCAAATCATAGTTAATGTGGCTGTTCACACAAGAACAAAGAGATCAACGCTTTGCCAGCCGCAGTGCAGATTGTGTAAGATGTGTGCGCCATCCAGCGTCCCATTCTACAGTGCAGCAAGTCTTTGAATTGAGCTGCAAATCTTCATTTTCGAATAAACAACAAGTTTCGTAATCTCAAAAATTGCATCACCTGCGTCACAAATCCTTTCATGAATTGCATTTCGTGCTTTACATGAGTCCACCCTTCGTAGCTGTTTGCTCTAATGTCGAGACGAAGCGCTATACGATTCAGGCTGAAAGGGGTCTTCTTTCAACCACACTCGAAACCTCCAGCAGATTCATCCAGTGCCCTAAAAAACGACAGTTGAAAGAAACCATTTTGACGATAAGAGAAACAAGGCTTCACATTAGTTGCTCCGACAAAAATCGAGGATTTCGCTAAAACTTCGTCTAAAGTGATTATTTTGCACGCCAATTACCACGGCAGTGCAATTCGGTGGAGTTACGCTAGGCCTCGCTAGGGGGTCAACATCACGGAGATGCCCCAAACTTCATCTAATGGGCTTATTCAGCAAGCTGAACATAAAAAATCATGTTCATTTCCTACGTAACGCATCTTGGGTTGCGGCGGGTATACGTTAAATTGCTAAAAATCCCAGTTTATTCAAAGCTTTGCCTAAAGGGGTTTCTAAGTACGCTAACTACGAATGTCATACTCTCTTTGCATTTTGGAACTTTTCCGCGGACTTACGATAGGTGTACGGTAAGTGGCCAATGTAATAGATCTGCTCCAATTTTTGTGCATGTGTGTTATCTTATATATAAAGCTGAATGTCTGTTTGTCTGTATGTCTGTCTGTCTGTCTGTCTGTCTGTCTGTCTGTCTGTGTGTACGTATGTTCCGAATAGAAAATTCCATTTCTGAACCGATCCGGACCAAACTTGGCACACATACACTACGGGCCCCGGCGGGTGTCATAGGCTACTTTTCGTCATCGATCGATATCGATTTTATCGATTTTTATCGATTTTTTTGCTGAGTTCACCTACGGGGCTGGGAGTTGGCACAGGGGGGTAATCGAGCATGGGGATTCCGAATACAATATTGGTTTTCAGGATTATCGATTACTTTTATCGATTTTATCGATTTTTTTGCAAAGTTTGAGCTACGGGGCTGGGAGTTGGCACAGGGGGGTAATCGGGCATGGGGATTCCGAATACAATATTGGTTTTCAGGATTATCGATTACTTTTATCGATTTTATCGATTTTTTTGCAAAGTTTGAGCTACGGGGCTGGGAGTTCGCACAGGGGGGTAATCGAGCATGGGGATTCCGAATACAATATTGGTTTTCGGGATTATCGATTACTTTTATCGATTTTATCGATTTTTTTGCAAAGTTTGAGCTAGGGGGCTGGGAGTTGGCACAGGGGGGTAATCGAGCATGCTGATCATCCCCAAGGGGGGTGATCAGCATGCTCGATTACACCCCTGTGCCAAATTCCAGCCCCCTAGCTCAAATTTTCAAAAAATCGATAAAATCGATAAAAGTAATGGACGATCTTGAAAACTAATATTGTATTCGTAATCTGCATGCTCGATTACCCCCTGTGCAAACTCCCAGCCCCGCAGGTCAAACTTTACAAAAAAATCGATAAAATCGATAAAAGTAATGGACGATCCTGAAAACTAATATTGTGTTCGTAATCAGCATGCTCGATTACCCCCCTGTGCAAAATCCCAGCCTCGCATGTCAAAATTTACAAAAAATCGATAAAATCAATAAAAGTAATCGATAATTCTGAAAACTAATATTGTATTCGGAATCCCCATGCTCACTTCCCCCCCTGTGCCAACTCCTAGCCCTGTAGGTGAACTCTGCAAAAAATCGATAAAAATCGGTAAAATCGACATCGATCGATAACGAAAAGTGGACTGTGACACCCGCCGGGGCCCGAAGTGTATGTGTGCCAAGTTTGGTTCGGATCGGTTGAGAAATGGAATTTTCTATTCGGAACATACGGCGGAGCCGGGTATGCCAGCTAGTTTATCCTAAAAGAAATGTTCAAATACCACTCAAAATTATTTATTAGAAATTTGAGCGGACGCTGCCTTCAAGATATGCTCTCCGATTCTATAGGCTTGCTTCGATATCTCTCACCTAGCGATAAATTTCCAATATGCTTCTATAGCGGCCTCATTCCACTGCACCCAATCACCTACATGGAAACCCGGGGAGCACAATTCGGCAAGGCCAGGAAGATTGTAGAACTGCAAGTAGCCAACACACTACATAGTTTATAAATATGGATCTCACCTCAGCTTCCCTTCGAAGGCTCTCTCTAGCTTCAAGATCCGCAGGAAGAATAAAATTGTTTCCATCTCTCAAGTAGTTCAGTATCTGAAATACAAATTTCGTCAAACTCTCTGATGGGGAAACTGGCTTGCTTGATACTTTTTCAAAGTGTGTTGGACTTCGATCCACAAACAATTCCTCTTGATTCTGCCAACGATCCGCAACCATAGTAGAAAGTACCTTTGAAGTTTCATTTACTAGTTGAAAGTTTGGGAAGTTCGAAAAAATTAGAACTCACAGTGTTATCCACTCTTGTCAGGGTGGAGATCGTAGTCTCAAAGATAGTTCCACCCACGTTGACTTTCACGCGTCCATGACCTTTCAAATGATCGCTTCTATCCTAAAATAGGATCATTTTCATCGCTAGAAACCAGCATGTAAACATGAGTCGCAAAAATTACCTCGGTCGATGACATTATCCTCAGAATGTCAGCTCACTGACTGCACATATAGGGACTACGCCTACTAGCAAACAAAAGCACTTTGAAGTGGTCCCAGCACGAGAATCTGTTCCTCAATCATCGCGGTCTCACAGTGCGAAACTTTCTCAAAACATGAAACAGGGGCTGCATATGCAATCTATGACTATACCGCAGCGGAAAGGGGAACGAAATCCGCCAATTGAACGCCTCCACGGACTGCTGGTCCTGCAACGACATGCAGCAGTATAGCAAAAGAACCAATTGCCAGCGAAGGCGGGCTAAGACTGGCGGAGTTCGTTCCCCTACCCTAAGGCAGCTGATAAATTCTTCTCAATTCTGAAATTAATGGGAGCACTTAGAAATGAAGATCATTGTCATGAGACTACGCATCGTGTAGAATAAGGTTGACCCTTGCTTCTTAGAAAGCGCTTCTCTTTTTCGCAAACTTGATCTTCAATTTACCAACCTGGCCCCAAGAAACTCTAAGTAGACAGACTTTGCGTATGAGTTCTAACATTTTTTGGAAACAGTGTGATCAGATAATTCTTATCGTATATAAAATCGTTGCTTGTAAGCGATTTAGTCGTTTGTAGTGGTCTCGTTTGAAAAGCGTGACTATTGCATATAGGAGATGCAGTTCACATCGACTACATAGAATGGTTTGCAAAGACTTGCATCGGTTCAGCTACAAGCAAATTGTAAGAAAAAAGTAAATGAATCTGTTTCTTGCAAAACCGCCAATATGATACTCTCAAGGCTTTCATAATTGATTAGTCTTTTATAGTTTTATACTTGAGCAGTTCAAAATATCTATAAAATGATTTAAATTTCCCAAGTAAAATTGTAGAAGGTTACTCAAGTCTAGTGAGATAGAAGGCAAACATTCTGCGAGACTTCGGGACGTTTCTCAGCGGTTTTCGTGGTACGGCTAAAAAATCTCTACGAACTGTCGTAATGCCTCCGTAGCCATTCTGCGCTGTCTCTTCCCTTCGGAGGAAAGGGAGTATGTGTGTGTGTGGGGGGGGGAGGGGGGTGGGGAAAGGAACGGGCCGCGAAATCTTTGAAAATTACCTACATGAGTTAAAAAAAGTACTAGCACTTTTTCATATTTGTAAAAACTGTAAGCCACTGGCACATTATCTGTTCTCAGCTGGTGGAAGAGTGCTAAAGCTCAAAAAGCTGCCTGCTCACAAACGCTACCGCCCAAGATGCAGCGGTCGAGTACTCTGTAGCCTTTTGCACTGGAAGCAGTCGTTATAAAAAATGTGAAAAGCTTGACTTTCTGCTAAGATTAACGACAAACAAGCGAAGCGTTTCCTAATAGGCCTTGTAAACGGATTCGTGCTAGCGCCGTGCCTGAACATCGATCGATCAATACAGGGCGCGTGCAAGGATTCCGACACGGCGACAGCACGGTTCTGGCAAGGCGCTGAAATATTTCGGCACTGAGGTAACATCAGTTGCATCAGCATAAGTATGCAAGAACTTGGAGATGACAGGGCAAGCACCTCCCAGAACATCTCATCGCTTCTATCTCGCACATTATTTTCGATTTTTATGATTGTTTTCGTAGCAGATCGGATTTAACCATTTGAGAGAATAATTTTTGACAGTATAATTTCGCTCGATCACACTCCAGGTAGTGCTCCTACTTCTGGTTTATGCTACATTAGCATAGAATACTACACTTTACGTGGTAGGACAATGGTGCTAATGAAGTTGTGTACTCAAAGCAGCTTTTCGCCTCACCTTAATCATTGTAATCTTTTTTTTAAAAAGCTGCAGAGTTCTCTTACTGACCTTTGTTGTCTTCAAAACTGGTCCATAGGGCATTGGTAGAAGATGGAAGTCGTCTACGAACATTGCTCACGCACTACGCCACAAAGCTCTGGACCCCTTAGCCAGTGGCTCGGAATTGCAACTGCAGGCTTTTTACAGTCACATAGCCTTCTGGATCCGGTAAGTCCGGGACTGTGCTTGAAAAGCCAAAAAAGTTTTTTCTGCGTATTCCGGCCTTGGAGGTTGCTGAGCGGGCCGGGCCAGCGATTCCCTGCAGGCTTCCCGCCCGAAAACAGCGACTGGCTGCAGGAGACTGTAGCTCCACCCATTTCGGCGGCAATTGGCGGGTAGGGGAACGAAAGCCGCCAGCTTCGGTCGCCTGCGCGGACTGCTGGTCCTGGAACGACATGCAACAACGTTGCGAAAGGACTAGTTAGCCGCGAAATGCGGCTCAAACTGGCGGCTTTCGTTCCCCTACCCGCAATTGGCTGATCGACTCAGGCAGCCAATCGCGAGTCAGTCGGCGATCGCTCGCCCATCCCTCGAGCAATCAAGACCGGAATACGCCATGGAAAGCACTTTTTTGACCTCCCAAGCGCAGCCCTGGACTCACCGCATCCAGAAGGCCAAGGAGGGATAGAAAGCTCGCAAATGCAATTTTCCCGAGACTGCCTTTGAACGAACCAGATTACTTCCGCGCTTCTTCAGCTCTTCAGCATCGATTCGTAAGTTACTCGAGCAAAGTAACGACTAAACTTTACAACTTTACATGCTTTGAAGTAATGTGCTAGCACAGGAAGATTAGCTTAGCGCAAAAAATAGCTATATTTCTCAACATTGAACAACAAGTATCTTTCTATCATATTTTCGAAAACAAACAAATCTTTTCTGAAAAAAAATTACGGGTAAGTAGCCAGTAGTGTGCTGATAGCAACACGTGCGTACGCTCCAGCTGAAAACTGGCTGCCTACCGTAAACCTATCGTACCCAAACACATTTCTAGTTTAGGTGAGTTGTATTAATCTCTTGAATTCCGAGTTCTACAAAAACCGATTCCGCGGAGGCGGGGCCTGTTGGTGGTGTCCGCTATTGTATCCGTAATCTTTACAGAGCTTATTTTGAGAACCTGCAGCATCTTTATAGGGTGGAAATTCTAACTACAATTTACCACTGCTGTAATAGAAAAGCCAAAATATGGACAGCATTTTTCTTCAAATCTATTCCTCTACCGGGTACAGTGAAGACTGCGGAAAATGCGTCCACCATCCGTTGTCCCATTTTACGGTACAGCACAACCTCAATTTTACCTGCAACGACGCTGGATAAAACCTATTTTTTTTCGTGCCTTACCTCCGTCACAATGCCTCGCATGAATTGCATTTCGTGCTTCACAAATTCAAAATCTTCGTTGGCTTGTTGGGTGAGATTATAATCAGACCTCGACAACACATGAGGACTCAATCGGGATCCGCAAATTTCTCAAGTGCGTTCCCGCTCATGAAGGCGGTCGCCTTCGTACCTTATAAAGAGAATGCTCTTTACTTTATCCTCTTTCTCATTCGCAGTGAGCCCGAGTCGAGCGGCTCGGGTCCTGCGTGGCCTCGCATGGGCTTGTACCGCGTTCTTGGTGTTCTTCAACCATTTTCCCACCCTAGTTAGCGATTGAAAGCTCGACTCTGAGACTTTTCCGACGCTTACGTGTGAAAAAAGACTAGACGACATGTCTGCAAACGCGGTGCAAAGTCCAGTCGAGGCGGCTGCGCGCGCGAGCTGCTCGACGAGCTCATGCCAAGACAGAGGATACGAAGTTAAGATGATTGCAACGGGTAGAGGACTATATGTCGCCGAAATTGGGCGGTCCCCGCGGTCATTTGCGACAATTACGCACCCTTGCACATGCGCGGACATGCGTTCCTGCAGGGAATCCGCGTGGACTCTTCCAAATTCGGCGACATATAGTCCTCCACCCGATTGCAACTGTATCATCCGGAACAGTTTCAGATGCGCGAGTCTGTTCGCAAAGATTTGGGCCGCATCGCGGCATTAGTTTGTACATTTCGCACAAAGCGCATTTGTCTGTGTCATTTTAATCCTTTCGATCTCTAACTCAGACAATTGCATCGGGAAGTTCGCGGCCTCAAAGCGTGCTACATGGCGCGCCGCGGCCCTTAAAATTTCAGCCGCGCGCGCCGCGGCCCATGTATATTCTAATGGGAACGCCGCGGCCGAAGTCAAAAATGGAAAGAGCTTACCGGGAGAGTCGCGGCCCAATCACCTCTCTCGGCGTGCCGCGGGCCTTATCAAAGGCCGCACTTCTTACACGTTGTAGCTTAAGGCGCAACCCGCGTGAGGTACGCCGCAGTGATGGGGCTGCCCTAAGTGTTTGTGGGGATGGTATTCGCTTCTCGGATTAAGTTGTATGACAGTGGAGTTTATATGCTCACGAAACAAACTCCAGCAATCGGTTGATTGTCATCGACAACAGTAGATGATGTCGACAGAAGAGCTGACAAGTTGTTCAATTTGTACTCAGTCGCTGTCATGAAAGACAAGCCAAAATTTTTTTCACTCTTCCTAGGTCTCACAAGCATGCTAATCGGGTCAACTATCGGGCGCTTACAGGATGCCCCGCGGTCACTTATCGGGCCCAATATCGGTTTATACCGGGCAGCTCGCGGCATGGATGATTGGTGGCCGAGCAAGCACCCGCGAACTTCCCCGTGCAATTGTCTGAGAATGGCAAAATGACAACCCTAAGCGCTCGCTAACGCCGGTCCAAACCTTTTACAAAGCCAGCTCGCCGTTCCAGATAGAATGTTTCAGTCTATCTCCTATGAAACAAACGGTCCTACACCACATTAATGATCTAAAAAATGAAAATCGGATTTCGCTAGAATTTTGTTCAGGAAGGTTTTACAGGCTGACCACGAATGTTACATCATTTTGCAGAGTAATGCCATCTAGTGCATTAAGGTAGGACTACGGCAGAGGATCAACAGGATAGAATTGTTAGAATTTTCGTCTGGGAAGAAGAGGTATTTGGCACGCTAAATGAGAATATTTTATTCATTTCGTAATACTTTAGCTCCAGAATGCACAATCCTTGAATGCAAAACATCGGATTTTTCTAAAAATTTGCTCATAGGGTTATTTGGCATGCTGATCACAATCGTACTGAATTGTATGAAAAGACCTTGTTGGTGGGGCTGCGGTAGGTGTACGGTAGGGGGGTCAAAGTCACGGATCTAGTTGGATTTAGTCTAGAGAGGTTATTCGACATGCTTGTAACGGATATCATACCCTAGGCAATTTAGAACCTTTTCTGAATTTACGGTGT